AAAGCAATGGCTACAGTCTGAGCAGCAAATGATATGAGGGCATGAAAATAGGCGTGTTTACACAAGACCTTACAGCCGTCTGTCAAGAGATAAACCCACCATAGAGTAAGACTGGTACTGCGTAATTACTCGGTATGATTGGATTTTCTGGCATTATGTCAAAAAGATATCATATTCATTCTTTACTATTAGCCATATACAAAATGTTAACTTAGTTAATAATAGTACAGTAAACATCATGTGGGAACTGTCTACGTCCATCTATGAGACTATGACTTCAACAGGCAGACCTATGTAACTTACTTATCGCTTACCTACAGTAAGTACAACCAGAGACGAAATGTCCAATACTGAGCTTCTTTACTGGCACCACAGTGACATGCAAACATTTATGATTCATATATCAGTTAATGGGATTGCAGTTAACAAACACATGCCAGCTATAAAACAATTAACAATACCTACTTCGCAGTTATTTTCTATTCACAACTACCCATAAATCAGCAAAACAAACGTTCAGCATCCATCCTGCATAGATATTCATTTACCCACATTTGTCCATTTTTCTTTGTGCCATAACAGCTTATTTTATTAAACAGTATTTGTCCTTTTTCTAGAAATTAGCATACTTATTTCTCACATAAAACACATCCGAAGTTGACAGCCTTTGACACAGTGTAACCCATTTTGCCTGTGAAATTACTAAATTTATTTTACAACCATTAAAAGGGTAGAGTTGGCTTTGAATTTCAATTTTGACACGATCGACATGAACTGGCTTCAGTTACAATTGGATCTAGTCTATGTGGCATTCAGATTTTTAGTTTGGGAAGGTACTTAAGTATTCAGTCCATCGTAGGACAAAGGAGAAAAGCACAAAATAGAGTCACAAATCAAACATATCCAGAATATCTCCTGAAAATGGGAGGAAACTGAAGCATCCAGAGAAAAAAACACACAGACATGAGGAGAACATGTAAACTCTCCACAGACAGACAGTCCAAGCCAGGACCCCACAGCTTCAAGGCAGCCACACTCACTGCTTGCCACAATGATAAAATGTATTACTGCGATCTGAGAATCTCAAGGAGGTTTCCGTTTAACTCATTTAGACATCTAGTGTGGGAGTTGTTGTTTTTTTCATGTTAACAAAAGATTTTTTTCAACAATCGAATAAACCCTCGTGATTTTGATATGCTACTGTAAGCACGATGGCACAAGAGCCTTTGAAATTCTACACTGAATCCTTTTTTATCACCGAGCACGAGGCATGGTGTCTTTGCAGATGGCACTGTTAAAAGTTTAGCCAAGCATGTTTTGGGTAAACATAAGGCAAAGAGATCTTCACAACAAAGCCTGGAAGTAAACAGGAGAATGAAAGCCGTGTTGACAAAATAACGATTTTAAACTTACACTACTATAAAATGTACTTCCCTTTAAAGGGAAACTGCCGTCCAAATTTCTGAGCTCGGTTATTAAATCTCGGTAACAAAATAAATTCACTGACAGTATTGCACAGTTTTACTAATTCCAAATTAAGCATAAAATCGTGAACTGTGTGAAAGTACTCTATGGTCGCCCTTGCTGTCACAAACCGTGAAACCAAGGATTTGCATGGATTGCAACATGAAGCCGCCCTTCCTGCTCACTAGTCACTGTAATGACTAATGTACTGCGATGTTCAAGGGAATAAGTACAGGTTGTGCAGCAGACCCCAGAAATGTTCCAACATGATCTGCATGCAGAGTTAACAGATAGTGTTTGTCGGCAAAACCATCTCAAACTCGAGAGTAATATTCTATTGGATTAAAACAGACGTATTCACAAGCCTGCTTGTCTACAGTGTAATAGGGCCGTTTCACATCACTGGACGTTTTGTTAGCTTGCTCTGAATCGCAGGCAATGACAGCAATACGGCGCTCCTCAAACCTGAATTTCATCCACTATGTGATGTAAATTTAAGGTTTGAAACATTACTGTGTACGTTTTACTTTTGTTTCAATTTGAAATGCACTCATGCACTTCCGATGACTACAAAAATAGTGTTGTAGTTACCCTTTAAATAACACAATCATAGATCTTTAGTATTCTTCTAGGAGTAAAATCATTTCTTTAAGAAATATTTCACATTCAAACCCATATAGCATGTTCAGAAATAATGACAGACGTAACGGAAGAGGGCATAATGGTTGACCTTTTTTTATATTAAAAGAAACATTACTTAAGGGATTGTAAATTGACCAGACCTATCTTATTTCAACTGGTTTCATTTTTGCATTGAAAGATAAAAACTTTCACAGTGATCTTCTATGACTGCTAAACAATATTACAAGTTAATCATTTAGCTTACTACCGAAATCAAAAGAACCAATGCAAAGAGTGGTTTCAGAACATGAAACTCCCAAAAGAACAGAAACTTAAGAAATCAGATGCATTTTAAATGGGATTTGTAGTATTTTCATTCATTATATTAAGCAGATTTGGAAAGGTTAAAACTGCCATCTGCTTTTTGTAGCAGCTACCATAAAGTAGAGGAACCAGGGTTATTTTTCTTGACTTGGCACACGAAATTAAGCTTGTAGGCTCCCAGACTACATATTAGGATTCCCTTTTCATTGGCTCCATGAATCAGGACAACCGAGTTAGGTCCAACAAAGCTACAGTATTTCCAATCAATTTAGAAACAGCATGTGCTCTGAACTATAGCCTTATATTAAACAGAGAACAATAAAGTTTCAGTATTAGTAAGTGGGTTTACTGTGACCTTTTCACAGACACAGCCAAAGATATCACGCACATGCTCGATGCAGTACATTACCAATGACAGGCTGAGCTTTGGTACAGCCTTGATGCCAAGACGTCTTTCAGATTTGTGTTGAGCTGGGAGCTCCGTTACCTTCCCTCTTGAAGAATCTGGATGCAATGGGCAGAATTACTGGTACTTTACTGGCGACTGGTGATTACCATCCACTGACCTTAATCACACTGCACTCCACAGAACCAAGGCAACACACATGACATAAAGTTATATATAAATATGGCAAAACCCTGGATTAACTGATAATGTGACACAATAATAAATATGGCTATAAACACTCAGATCAGATCAGGACAAATAACTTTGGCAGCTAATGATTCAAGGACCTCTTAATGGGACAGGGAGGCTTAGTTAGCCAACTTTACCCGGATTCTCTCTTCCCTTGCACACAAGTGACTTAGGGCTCCGACTGAGTGAGTTAGATGGACTTATGTCAGCAAGACTGCCTGTGAATTGCTGCACAACCTGGATCCCCAGGCATTGCTAGAATTCTGTGATTATCAGTATGATTTGTAAGATAACTGCGTATATTCTATGCGTTACATAGATCTGCTTCTATTCTAATGTCAGATCTAAGACATGATGTCTTAGTTCTGACACTGGCCATATGGGCTTGCTGTGTGAGAGGAGGTGCATGGTTTGGCAGTGGACATGAGTCACGATGGTTATCAAATTGATCATCCGCAGTACATCAATCTTTCCTAACGGCTGAAGAAACGTAATTAAAAGGCAATATTTCAAAAGGGGCTGAGAAAAGGGTGATGAGATGCACTACGCAGCCTAATGTTTGGATTCAACACCAGAGAATCGGATTTCAAAGGGCAGAACTATAATAATAAACATGGGGAATGTAAGGAAAATCTAAACAAGAGATGCTCCCAGGGGCTTTTCCCCTGTCCTCTAATCTGAGGCTGTTAATCTCAGAATGTTCGAGATTCGTTTGTCCTCCTGCCAATACGCTTCAATTCAGCCAAAAAGAATTCAATTACACTGCCAGAGGGGGGAAAAAACGAGAAATCACTACCTTTCCCTTTATGGATATGAATATCTACAGCACACTGTAACAATACCAAGGGGAAAAGCGTCTCTGCCGGTCTGTGGAGACTATAAGGATTTTATAACTAATCTGTACTGGTGCCTCAAAGGAATCTAATAATGGCCAGAAATTGCACTCTTTAAATTTGTCTAAAGCGTTTGGCCAAGGACCATTAATAATGAAACACTCAGATCAGATCAGGACAAATACACAAGGACACGCAACAACGTCACTTGCTCTAGATTTCTTAGAATATAACGATGTATTATAATGGTAACGGAACGTGTTTTATTTTCATACTGTACACTAAGATGTAAGTTAAACTAATTTTGTAATACGAATAATTTTAAACTGAAAGATCACCTAAACACATGTGGAAACACTCTTCAGGTACAGTAACTCCAAACCACCACCGGCTAAGTTTTGAATGTAAACCCCTGGGTTAACTGATTATGTGACAATAATAAATATGGCTATAAATACCGCTTAAACTCATCACTAGCCTAAATGTTCAAAGACGATATGCAATATTTTTTTTAAAAAGAATCAGCGCAATATCGTAAACCTGCTTTTTAAAAAAAATAGTAAATGATCAAAATGTTTTCTAATCTAGATCGTTCGGTTTTGCTGAAAAAAATATTTGTGATTCGAAGCGTGACATCAATACCAAACCTTCTCTCTGCCCTCAGAAAAATGAATTACGGTTGCCTGCGGCTTATAAATCACATGTTTGATTCACAAATAAAATACAGGGATTGAAGCGTTTGATCTTACCGGTGATTTCACAGGGTCTAATGTGGACAAATTGCAAAGATCTAGAGCTGCGCTGTAAAAATCCAACGCAAATGCCCCATATTTTATTGTTTCTTACAAATGGGGGAAGTGCTGAGAGAAAATCAGAAATTCACACTGAACTGAAGATACATAGCTTTCCGCTACAGCTTTCTGTGTTTCTGATACAAAACACGGAAAATAATTTCACGATATTCGGGTCACTAAAAATGTCAACTTCAGAGAGGGTTTCAAAGAATCGTTTGCAAATGGTAAAAAGTTTGATCATTCGGAAACGGTAGGAGCTTTGAAGCATAACTTTTTTTTTTGTTTGTTTTACGGAGCACAACCATGTACAATTTAAAAGTTACTCACGTTCCAAGGATTTCTTTGAACTCGAACAGCTTCTTGATGTCATCCACTTGCTTTTTCCACGACTCCTTACCGGACTCTCCGTTCTCCCGAGCCATCGTGCAAATTGAGAAAACAAGTGGATTTTTACAGACCCGAGTGGATTAGGCGGCTTCCACAAACTTCACGTTGGGACTTCCTGCTCTCACTGGCAAACACGCGTTCAAAGATACAGTTTTTTTCTATTGTTTTCCTTTTCGATAAGTCGCCGCCCTTTATTTAACTTGGTCTCTTTTCTCCCCCCACCCCCCCTCTCACGCACTGATGTTTCGGTTTTGCACGCCGTGTAACTGGTTGGCTTTCTTCTGGCTGTTGAACCTCTTAAGGTTAAAATTTTGTTTGGCCGCCGTAAATGTTGGTGGGCAGAGGCGTGTTTTCTTCGTTTTCTGCTGCCGTTATCTTGTCAGCTAGAGTTCTCACAGTTCAGAAAACCTGTAAACGCTCGTAGAAGTCTTTCATCAAAATGCTTATTGTCGGGAAATATATTTTTATTGAACCATTCTGACTGTGCCATCGGTTGTTATGGCAATGCGAGGAGGATGCTGCTCTGCGCTCTGGCTGTCGGCGTTGCGCTTGTGTGTGCATCCGTGTGTGCCTGAATGACTAGAGATAATTCGCATTGCACCAAAACCGGGCTCACGTCAAAGACGAGGGGTTGTACTACAGGGGGAGTCTTTTGCAGCAGGTTGTTCTGAATTAAATAGCGAACGATTAGGAAACAAATGGGTTTTCACGTGAAGTGCAGCAAACGAGACTGTCGAGTGGGCTCAGTTAATGCTCAAGACGACTTCCACTCCGCACGGCGCTCTCGTTTCGATAATGGTAAAATGGGATAGACTTAATGTACTGTATATACGACATACCGTACAGTACCTTGGCCTCAAAGCGAGTAACTTGGGTCTCTTTCTCCAACTTTGGAACGAGTGAGGTCTTTAAAAATATTTTGAAAATAAATGTGAAAAGCAATTAAAAGACGAAGTGGAATTGTAAGAATGACTATTTTCACATATTTCCAGAAAACAGTTGTTTAATGTGGGAGCTAATGACTGGATTCAGACCGCTGATTACCAGTGACGACCACAAATTCACTCTGATTCATGCTCATATCATGGTAGCTATTTCTACAATTAGGCTGAATTATTCTCTTGAATGCAGTAGAGCAGTAGGTTCCTGTGAAGATAAGTACAGTGCAATGTAATAGTACGAAACGCATGTTTCAGATTTATGTAGTAGTGCCAACATGTCCCATGAATAACTGAGAGCCTTTATTTTTTAAGTGTTTTAAAACTCTCAGTCTAGGGTCCCAGTCAGCTCTGGTTCAGGTGATGCGATTTCCGAACCTACCTGTACATCAAAACACTAGCCGATTGATAAGAGTGAGAATATAATTACCCCATTTCCACAACTTGTGTTTCCACTCTGAACTTTAAAGTTACAACTGAATGAAAGAAACCGGATCTTCAGCGAAATCATATACTGTACAGTACATATGTAACAGATAATATTTAATCCTTACACTTAGCGCTTTTCTGGACACTCCGCTCAAAGCACTTTACTGGTAATGAGGACTCCCTTCTACCCGATGCCGGCCATAGTGCGCTATTACGCTCACCGCACACCAGGTATCACTCAGTGGGGAGGAGAACAGAGTGATGAAGCCAGTTCATAGATTGGGATTATTAAGAAGGCCATGATTGGTAAAGGCCGATGGGTAGTATGGCCATTCAGTTAACACTGTATGTGTAATGATAAAATCCCTGGTTTCGCACACCTGTTGTAATGTACTGTATAGAATGAAATGTGATATAATTTTGTACAAAATTAGATTCAGATTTAAGGAGAATTTTATCAATTATTGTACATGTTACCCAGATTCACACAAAATACAGTACATGCATCTGCAACAGTCTTAAGAGAATAACGAAAAACAGAGGTCACATACAGTATATGCAAAGTTCACCCCGTTAGGCGCTCCTTTCCGTTTTCAGATGAAGAATCGTTTGTTTTTTCGTTTCTGAGAAGGGTTGCGTTGTGGGTGGTTACGAATTTCACCTAATCTACACCAGAAAATTAAATCGGCCCTGTTATCTATTCTGTTATGTACTGTATCTGTTCCGTTTAGAACAGTTGAATTGTGTAACACTATTTACTGTACCTGATTCGCTTGGAATCGGCCCCTCCTTAATCTCCTTAATACCGTAATATTTTCCGTAAGACGTCTGGGGCGAGGGGTGTCTGGGGTGACAATAGAAAGCTGGATTTGATACATTATAAGACCCACAACCCTAAAGCAGATCAGGCTGTAAATGTTTATGAAAATGTGTAACAGCTCCTGATTTGATGTGAACTGAAAGACATTTTTGGTAGTAAAAATGATTACATGGATGTGTTAAAGAGGTGGGTGGGTGGGTGGGCTGATTCTAAATCTGGGCGAATCGTGTTATAAACGCGAAAGTTAAAAAAAAGGCTTAGAATAAATCTAACTTTCCTGGTCCCTAGATGATCGCAGTGAAAACACTGAAGGTCACACCCCTCCTCCAGTCATACTGAATCTTTTTTTTATGTACTTCATGGGCTGTGGCTCGTCCGAAGATGAAAGACGTTATTGGAAGAGCTAATCCGCATAGCCTCATTCTCCCAATGTGAGTGAAGAGGTTGTTGCGATGAGCTGAGACATTGGTACTGAGATAAGGTACACTTCAAAATCTGGTGGTTATATAAAAAATAATTGGTAAAGCACCAGCACTTTCAATTCAGTGACCTGGAGCCTATCCCAGCAAGCAGTGGGATACACCCTAGTGTACTAGTCCATTGCTGGGCACACACAGACTCTCACAGCAGGGCCAATTTCACAGACCTGCCATTGTGTCTTTGGACTGTGGGAGGAAACCAGAGCAGCAGGTGGAAATCCACACAAACTAGGGGAGAACACGCAAACTTCACACACATAGCACCCCAGGAACTGAACACAGGGTCCCAGTGCTGCAAGACAGCAATGCGAACCTCTGTGCTAACCTAACTGGCAAATATGATTTTAAAAATATAACTCAGTCTGAACTTTCCTCTTTCTTCTTCACCAATAATCATATTTCTATGTTTATATTTTAATACACAGGCTTTTTAGAGTTTTTCATTTATTCGTGCCCAGATTACTTTTCTATGTCCTCAAAAGACATTGTATAATGATTCCTCTTGGCTGAGTGAGGCTATGATGTCTATAATGCACAGCCTTCGTCTCAGAAATCCACACTGTGCCTTTTACAGTACATAGCTAAACCGATATCTCTTTTTTGACAAAAAGAACCATTTAAAAGTTGAGGAATTATTTAAATTGCGAAGTATCATACAAAACCTTGAAGGTTCAGCAATGATTGCAGAAACTGCTTAAATTGATATATAGGAACTTCCATAGCAAACTGTAGGAGTAATAACTTGGAAGTGAAACTCCAAATAAAAAATTCATGTAAGAATCTTGTGGAAACTGCTTTGGCCTTTTTGAATTATCAGCATTATTGATGCTTTTCAAGGTATACACTTGGTAAGCATTTCTAAGCCCATCTCCTGCTGCCAGTGCTACAGCTTGAAAAGGAAAAATCTTCCAAGTTTACCTGGCACGCTCCCAACACTTCTGACCTTTATTCTGAGCTGCAACTAAAGTTATTTTAATACACAATGAAACTGTTACAATTCCAAATTAACAAAGTCATCTGGAATTCATGAAAAGGGAACAAAACCTACTGTGTGTCTGAATGGAAGAAAACACCGCAATCCTCCAATTTGTTCCCTGACAAGCAATAAGTCTGTTGTGCCTTGATCTCATCACAACAGTCACAAAACAGTTATATATTCCCCAATCGTATTTCAAGACCCCAAGTACTGCTTTGTGGAGGACAAGCGCAATGGGGGTCATGCAGTTAAGTGAGGTCAGCCTCCTGCTGGAGTCTAGAAAAAAGTAACCATTTGCTGCACCAGAGGATCTGTGTTTCGTTGTGCCGGAGTTATCTGCTGTCTAGGGGGCGATGCTGTGTTTCGGAATCCGCGAGTGACCGGGATCAAATCCCAGCAGGGACAGAGTTAGCTGCTCTTGTCACACAAGCAGGCATGGCTACAGCTGTTTCCCTAAAGAGGACTGATCACTGAACTGCTCACCCTCTGTAGCAGGTTGGTAATAATGATTGGAACACCAATGAGCCACCTACCTAACCCGATATTTCACAGATCTACAACAATAAATTGCATTAATTACAAAAACTGACTACAGTTGATAATTTGTCTTGAACTCAACATACTGGGCTAAGAAGTAGGATGCTCTGCAGACTAGTGTAGTGTCTTGCAATGAACACATGAATCCATCCATTTTCTAACCACGTTATCCAATACAGGGTCGCTGAAAGGCGAGATACACCCTGGACAGGACGCCAGTTTGTCACAGAACACACACAGACACAAACACATGGTCACACCAGGGACAGTTTTTTTTCCTTTTTCCAGAAGGCATTTAACCTCCCACTATGCCATGGACTATGGGAGGAAACCAGAGCACCTGGATGAAACTCACGTAAGCTTGGGAGGACAACCAAACTCCAAACATTGCTGCCTTGCAGACCTGGGCTGCTATCTGCATGGATTTTTATTGCAAGTTTATTATAAAATTACAATTGCACACATCGCACCTCCTTCCTTTTGAAGACAGTGGTGCTTATCCATATACAGTATGTTTACTGCAGTCTGCATCAGTTTGCACCTATCCAAAACTATTATCAACCTGGCCTCGTGCCTGGAAGTCGCTAAGTGATGGCACAGAAATGGCTGCATGCTGCCAGGGCTGGCTGGCGCTTTGTCTGTCAGGGTATTCTCGGTCTGTCAAGCGACAGTAACCCCTGTGACACACTGCTCACACCTTTGGTACTGCCATATCTCTCCAATTAATCAGTGCTCAGCAGCACTGACCAAGCCACAGAGGTGATGTCAGCTCCTTGGAGGATCGTGCAGGCTTCTCCTGTGACAGAAGGCCTGGTTTCTCGGAGTAGTGGAGCCATGTATGGGCCGAACTCCCAGGCGACCGCGACTGAATCTTGACAGGGCAGGGACAGAGTCCCACCCCATCACAGAGGCTCCGTGGGGCTCGCAGTGTGAGAAGTGGGAGATTGCTGGGAAATGTTGTTCTGCAGGCAACACCTGCAAAACCTCCACTGTACCCTCTTGTGCTGTTAGGAAGAACTAGTTATGAACAGCTAATTCCAAATTGAGGGAGGGGCTGAATGGAAAGAAACATAACTTGATTTCAAAATAAAAGATAAAATATCCTTAAATATACAGTATATAACACATGCACTCTTTGTCTACAATAGTAGAACACTGCATTTACTGTATAGATAAAAAAATATCACATTTGCAAAACCATGTTCCTCTGCGGGAGGCATGCAATTCTCTGGACACATTTTGTATCCAATGCCCTTCTTTTTCACTTTGCTTTTTATACATTTATTCTTTTATGGGTTAGAAATAGAAACAAATGACATAATATTGAACTACAATTTTTTCGATGACCACTGCAAGCCCTGTGATCTTTTCTAAACATAGCTGATGAGTATGCCAGAGGCAAACTGCTGCAGTTCTTGATTAAAAAAAAATCTCTTCACCACTTTGGCTCTCAAGTCTGTTACAGAGCAGAAAGCTGTGTCAGCCTAAATTACAAGTTAATGACAAAGCCCCTTTCAATTGAACCGATTTGATATGTTCCTAAATGCAGCCTACAGTAGTGTCTAGTTTTAAGTAATGAATTGTGAAATCTTTGTGTAATTTAAAATTTAAGAAGTGCACATTAGATCTTGCAGTAGAGTAAGGTAGACTAAAACCCATAAACATCTACCACAATAATGATTTTGACTAATATTACTAGCCTTACAGTTCTGATATTTTCAATAAAGACCACATGTAGACACATTGAATTTTAATTATATCCATAATGTTGTAGATAACAGCAGAGAATTATAAATGCTGATGTGACTGTATCTAATAGAAAACCTTGAAAATTCAGTGCTTATTTAGGGTTGAGGTCCGTGCATTAAATTATTAAGATATTCAATCTTCTATTTCACATTTTTGGATTGCATTCAGACATTACAAAAACCATATCTTAGTTAAAACAGGTAAACAAAAAACACTTTCTAATTTCAAAGTGAAAACAATAATTGTATATACATAATTAATTTAGGAGCATATACAGCATTTTGTTTTAACTTTCATGTTCTAGTGTTTTGGATCAATCAATGGCAAAAAAAAGTCTAAGCAGGTGAATACTTTTGAAGGCCACTGTAGTAGATATTATTTTTCAAGATGAAATGCGCAGAATAACACGAGAAGAGAAAGGAAAAACAAAGCATCAGTTCTCTCTTTATGAGGTATGTGTTCCTGATCAGAACTGTTTGTTTATTCAGCTCTGAAATCAATATTTGTATTTTGCAGCAATCTTTCTCTGTTTAAAAAGCAAATGCATTCAATGGTTCCCCAGTGTTATTTTCAATTCACATGTTCAAACACCTGAAATGACAGTTTGATAAAATGATAGTTTTGTTAGGCTGTTTTGTTTCCGGCTACAAAATAAATTCTGAATTGCACCCAATCCAACCCCAATTACATAGGTCCAAATTATTAAATCTATCATGTTTTTATACTGATGCATTTATGCAACATTTTTAAAAAATATTTTAATGCAAGTCTAAGTAGTTTATAATGTTGATCATGATCTTCACACTAAATGTCACCCTAAGTTAAAACAAAATTTTAATACCAGAAGAATGGTTACAATACACTTGAATACTCAATACAAATACATGAAAAAATGATTTTGTTGAGCAGAACATTTTTTAATTGTGACAAGGGCATGTTATAACTGTGTGAACAATGAAAACTTTATCAAAGATGACTTAAAGCTTTGGAAAGCTATACTGTACATCTTCTCAAACTTGAACTCCAGGTGAACAGTTTTCAGCTCAAGAGCACTGCAGTGAGGAACATGAGAGCATTACAATTCTGCTCGAGTGTCTGTGGAACACTCAGATCATCTAAACTGTGTATGTAAAAAACATCTGTGAGAACAACATCATGTCATCTTAGTATAGATTATCTTCGTTGACAAACAATAAATCTTACCTTATAAAATATTCTAACGATGACAAATCAGCCATTTATGCGTACTGTATTGTGCAATGAGAGTTTCTCACTTCAATGATGCAAAATGCAAACCAGAACCAAAAAACATCATGTTGCTGAAACATGTAATGCAAACTCTGGTCACCAACATCCATATTGGACAGATGGCCACATTACACACCATAGGCCAGAGACACTCAGGACACACATTGAACATGCACACTGAACTAAATGCTACAAAAAGTAACAGTGTGTGAAGTCTTCATAGCAAAAAGTAATAATAGAGATACAGTACCTGTCAGTTCCTTATTATCTTTAAATAAGAGAGCTTACTTAATTTTCAGCTTGTAAAGAATCTATAGGATTACAAAGAATGGTGTACTGTATTTAAATGACTTATTTCATCATGAGCATGTTGCTTTAGATTTTAATTTTTATGAAAATATCTTCCATAAATAGAGCTTTACCATCTTTTACTTTATATAGTTCGACTAAATTCATACTTTAAGCTTTCTAATGGATATTCAATATAAAATGTGAATAGTTTATTAGATTAATTTAGTTCTAGAGCAGACCCAAATACATTAGAACCATTCTACCTCCTTACAGATTAGAAATATAAATATTCTATTCTTATATTAATTATTCATACCCTCTAAAGACTATTTTCTACATCTGTTCAATTCAGATGATACACAATTAAGGACAAGATTTAGTTTTCAATTACTTTCAAAGTGATTGAAATTAATTTCATTTACACAGACATTAATTTCAAGCCTATACTAAGAAGTTTTAATTCATTAGGGAAGCAACATAATTTCCTCATTTAGAAACATAAATCACATTACAAAACATGCTAATTGTTTTTTCCTTTACAGCTGCAAATCACAAACAAATCAACTTTTTTAATACATGTTTGACATCCCTATTTGCAGGAAAAAGTAAAACAAGTGTTTTATTGTATTAACTAGAGTTGTAATTTATATATATCTTTATGTAATTATATAAAATGCATATAATATATCCCTACAAATCCATCATATAAAAACATTCTAAGGGACAATTTTCCTTCCAGCATGCTGAATACCAGACCTTTCCTCATGCATGTATTGACTGTTGGTTTATTTCATCTATCCAGATCTATTATTTATAGAGTTTGACAGACCAATGCAGCCTTTAACAGTCTTTTATTGCTGTTAGCAAAATGTTTAAGATTCTTCATCAGATTCCTCTTGCTGACCTTTTTTCTGAAAAAGAAAAAAGAGGCACTCTTTGAAGAGAGAGCATATCACCTTCCGAATCATCAGAGACATGAATTTCAGGACACAAGCTGCTTCGGTGTGCGTTCAAAGGATAGTGTAAACCAGTGATTCCCAATCTGGGGGGCACTAAGTGCTTCTGGGAGTGGAGGAGTGCAAGAAAAAATTCTTAATGTCAAATCCATTAAAAACCTAGGTGTGTTTATTCACCTCTTTCGTTCATCCAGCTGTTGAGTAGCTACTGTAACTACAGAAACTACTGTAAGTAGATTTCAATGCTTGTTGGCATTACTCATTGCCAAGGGAAGAGCATACCTGTGTGTCTATTAAAGAAGAGACACAACGTTTTTTATCCAAGAGGTTATCCAAGCACGTAAAAGTAATTTCTTTGTTTCACAGTGCAGTGGTGGTGGTTCAGCTACTCCTCTCACTCCTCTTCAGGCGAATTTGCCTTGACTTTGAGCGCCAGAGCACACTGCTCGTCTTCTGGTCGCATTTCTGACTACACTCGCTGATGATTCAACACTGTACTCATTATTACATGTGAGAAAGTTCCTTGTTTATTCAATTATTATTATTATTATTATTATTGTTGTTGTTGTTGTTATTCAGACAGGGCATCAGTTTCAGCAACTTGTCTTGCAATGTGGATCCCTACTCCCTGAATGAAAGAAGAAAATGAATGGCTTCAAGGCTTCTGGAAAATATATGATGATTTGTCTTCACCTTCCTTTGTCAGATGTATGGAGATCTAGCATTAGCCCACCTTCCAACTGTCTTTCAGGCTTATCTGCATCTTCCCTGTAGAAGCATGAGAGTGGAAGACAAAAAGAAGCGAAGGACTCTTACCAGCTTGAGGAAGTCGATAAGTTTGTACGCATCTTCCCCGGTGGAGAGATCTACGAAGTCCCTGGGGATCCGGTAGCTGAGGCAGGGGCTTGGCTGCACCGTCACCTCACTGGTGGTGTATCGGAATGCTGGGGCGTCCTGTCGGACAGTCATGACACAGAGTGTAAGGCACAGCGGCCACTGCACAGTGGCTGATTAACCTTATTGGGGCATCTTTGAACACCATCGAAGACAAGTCAAACGGAAGTGTTTCAAAGCTAGAAATCATCATATTCATACCCAAAATTACGTTCCATTCCATCATCAGAAAACATAACAGTATACTTCACCATCATCTGTAACCAAACTACTGCTTTTTTCCCCCAAAAGGGGAAAAAATAAGAACATCAGAACAAGAGGAGGCCATTCGGTAGTTAATAGCCAATTGGATCTCATCCGGCTGTTTCATCACAGAAGCCAGGGTATCGCTGGGTATCTTGTTCTGCACTCCCACAGTCCTTTCCGAGTGCTTTCCAAGCCTCCACAAGTGAACCTTTAATGTCCACTGCAAATGTCATAGGGAACCAGCACAATTTATATGGGAGTTATGTGCTGATGCAGAGTACTTTAAGGTAGGACATGCACTACATGTTAGCATAAAGTAGCCTTAAACGTAACTTCTCATCAGATGTGATTTCATGCTATCTGTTTGTGCTCTGCTGCATTTGTATCTTCTTACAAATAAATGTATATGTATTCAAATTTTGAAAAGAATGTGCATAATTCTGGATTATTTTAAAGCTGATCTTTAGCGTAGAGGACATATATATCGTAATCAAATGACAACACCATGGTTTCTATTTCCATCAAGGGTCTGATTTCAGCAACAACATCATCATTTGTGCTGAATTCACTGACAAACAATTCACCAAAGCTGATGTTTAATGCCTATAAGCACAGCCTCGGTCTTGTTATAGTTTTGTTACATCAATATTTTTATATCCAACACCTGCAGCAATCGTACCTGATTTATTATATAAGTAAATATGAGTGCTAGAAGCAAAAAAGTAAGGAAATTAAGACATTTACAGTATGTAAAAACAGTATAAAGGCTATGTACAGGGTCTACACCATGGGAGTCAAATTTTGGTCCTGGAGGGCCAGTGTGTCTGCAGGTTTTCGAGATCTTTTTATAAAAGGAACTCAGAAAACAAACACAAAGACACACAAAGGCTCTCCAGGACTGGATTCATCTAGGTAGACACAGCATACATCCACTGACGACTGGGAAAGTTAAATTCTCTTTTTCTTAATTGCAGGCTCATCTACCACAAATTCGCACCTGATCTGTATTTTCCCCTTCAACGTGGTCCCCTCTGAGACTGTTTCCTGAAGTCAGCTCTTCCCAGGTGAACAGCAACGAGTCCGTCACCTCACCAAATGGGTTCAGATCTATCAACCACACCCTACCCTGAAAAAACACCATCAGAAAAAGACTGAGTTCAAGAGCTTTCCTTAGCACACATACTGCAGAGAATGTAACCTTTAACCAGTTTACAACCGAAGCTTTTACTACTTTCTATTTTTGTTATTAATGAAAGCACAGAATATAAAACATTTACTAACCTGACTATCTCTGTAGACATCAATCACAACTGTGGAAAAAAACAACATTTTATTTGATAATGAAAAATAACTTTCTTCTGTCTTTTAGACTCACTAATCATTCTTTCCTTTTAAACCCAATAAATTCATCCAGGTCACAGCCACAGATATTAGAATGGTAATCTAAAACTCAGCATGACCATAACATCATGTTCCTTGATCATATACTTTTGTGAGGGTATATGCAGTCTGGGGTTTTTCTTTGGCAAATTCAAATTTACAGATACAAAAGAAGGAAAGAAACCAGTGATTCTAAATTTATGAAGGAAGCAGAATTTAAAATGGAAAAATGGCAGGACAGATGGATGGAAAAAAGGAGCAAAAAAGCACCAAATAATAATAAAAGCTTATAATGAACTTTTCTTATCTCTAATGTCATTGTGACATTATCTCTTATTTTGCAGTAATTCAGCTAACATTACCAAGGGACCTATAAAAAGGTAAAATGTACAACATAAAAATGGTATATCCAGATCAACGGTCAATGAAAAGAAGAACTGCAGAATGTCTTTTTCAGTATTTCACAAACTAGATTAATGACACCTGACATTGCAACACTAGTAGATTAAGCTTGTCAGATACTGATGTCAACAATGACACTGTCAAGAGAAAGGTGTAAAACCCTGAAAAAGTACATTTAATGTTCAGGATTTTCATTAAGTATTCCCTACAACACACTTGTTACGGTTAATTAATTATTTCCACATACTTACAGTCCTCATCCAGGAACTTGTACTGAATATTGTCCCTGAAGAAATCCTGGATTGATCTACAAATGTCATCTTCCTGATGTGAAATGTGATCATAGTGCTGTGTGTAATCTCTCTGTGAGATTCCTAAAAAGTAAAACACATCAGGACCTACTCTTGTATAACATTCGTAGTTACAGATCATTAACCACCCTTACTTGCTTCCGTCATACATTAATATACAGTATAGCGCCAGCAGGGTACAGCTCCTATAGCTATCTGCCAAGATTTTCCACTACTTCAGTGATTTACCAAATTTGGTGGAGATTTGGGAGGCCAGTTGAGTAAATAAACACAAGGGCCTGTTCTGATCTATAAAGCCATAGGACATTCCATTCCAGACATTATAAAACAAACAAGAAACAGCAAACAGAGAAGCGCAGTCCTTTTATTTTGGAATACTATGGTAAGCAATAGAAAATGATATTTCCAACCTTTGGGATCCACTAAACACTTTTAGATGTTCGATACAGAAGACATCATGTCAAGAATAGGTGGATCTTCATTTTTATTAATGTTATTTTTTCTCGTCTGAAGATTCAATGACAATAAATCAATGCCCACTTTCTCTTTTAATTTGATTCTGTGCAGTTCAGGACTCTGATATATATTAGCCTTTCAAGTTGGGACAGTGGGTATTATTATATATGTAATAAGCACAAATTTCTAACGTTTCTGTTTATATTTGTATAGACAAATAATAAAACCTCTTAATGAATTCCAACCCCTCCTTTACAACATCCACATCCAAGGGCATAAAACTCTACAGGATCACTGCACTTATAAAGGAAAATACTCTCCATACCTATTAGCTTGTTTTCCTTGACAAAACATCTGAACTCTCCACCAGGGATCAATTCACACCATTTTCTCAGGACCAGCTTGAAAAACAAAATATTTGTTTAGCATATTAAATATGTTAATAGCTGTATGCTCCCCCATTGGAATACCTTCAGCAAATAGGATATAAATTCTCATCTCAGTGTGCTGCGACTTTTAATATAAGGTGAGCTGAGACAACTGCAGTAGAATGAGACCTTAATTTCTCCCATTAAAGGCACCCCCTCAACCTGTTACTGTTACTGTCCCCTCCCATGCAAAAACACTTCTTAACTTTCCTCACAGTATGTTTTCAGGTGCTGCAGAGTCATTTATTACTGTAAAGCAGTTCCACTTGGTCAGAAATCAGATCTGAACGAGATCTGTCTGGGATGTAGTAATTTAAAATTACTACAATTTGTATTTCATGTAACAATTAACATGCATGCGATGAGTTCAATGAAGTAATCAGCATTAGCCCAAGAAAGTAAGATTCACAACACAGTGAAAGGGAAATGGGTGCTTGATGAGGCAGGGTAGAGAATGACACTGCCTTCAGTACAGCCACCCACCTCGTAGTTTATTGATGGATCTGGGGAATCATCATTACAACGAAGGAACCTGAAAACAACACGTTGTAAACAAGTTTACCCTGTTAACTCTGAAATAATTAACAAAACAAAACAAAACTAATACACGAGGCAATGAGGCTGAGAATTTTGTAATGCACAAAAGAACTATGATTGTTACTGATTCAGTAGTCAAATTATAAGCCTAAACTTTGCAAGTTCCGCGCAGCAGTGTTATAAACTCAACAGGAAGAACTGTGCACGCTCCATATCTGAGTCTACCTTGACTGGTGATGGAAGAGGACATTTTATCAGAACAAATTCATATTCACAATGATGAGCTGGAGCCCCATTTTTTACAGCAGTGAAATGTACTGGAGCGCTTTGAGTGAAATGTTTTTGCTCAAGGGTACACTAACATCGTGCCACCCAGGATCTGAAGCCAAGATCCTCTGGTCTCAGTCCAAAGCACTAAACACAACTCCACGCTGTTTTTGAAGTCAGTCCACCTTGTGGGGGTCCAGGCAAAAAAAAAACTAATCAAAGTGAACATGGATTCATCTCACAAAACTAATTTTCTTCCTTCTTCTTTGGAAGTTCAATAGTCCCAAAGCAGGCAAGACACGGGAAGAGAAAAAGGCCACTACACATTTTTTGGGAATGAAAAGCTGCCTTTTATACTCTGAAATAAATCACTGCACTCTGTGGACATTGCCACTTACTGCAGTCCTATTCTGCTGCACCTGAAAAAAAAAGATCTTCACAAAGGCAGCAATCAATACCAGTGAAGAGCTGAACACAGAGAAAGCGAAGGTCACTATGAGACTGTGGGAATGAAATCAGGAGATGCAGGCTGACCTTTACCATTAATGGATAAAGCCATTCTGGGGTAAATTGTTTTAAAATCCCAAACTCAAAAGGCTTTGTGGACACTGAACATATTGATTTTTAGATTTTCCTATGGCAAAGAACACTAATTTTAAAATTGGATGCCGACAAAAGGGATTTGAATGAGTTATTAGAAGTTAATGCATTCAGGTCAGTAGCGTTTAGTCGTTAAAATACAGTACTTAAGGGTATGAGATAACATTTGGGCTTTAAAAGACAGTACTTAAGAGCACGGGAATAGCTCCTAAATATGTTGAAACAGCACAATGATTATAAAATCTGCTTATTAATAATAGTCGTAAAGCACTTCAAATAGGAGCACTTACGGCTGAGTGAAGTCATGGGTGATGAAGTCTGAACTCTTGAAAAGCAGAAAAATGTCACTCAGGCTCTGGCATCTTAAAGAACTGTTCATTGCAATCCAGTTAGCATCCTACGTATATACAGATATATAAGGAAGAAAGTAAAATAATGCACAAAAGAAGGGTTATTTATTCTCTCTTTAAGTCTTCAAGGTTTTAAAGTGAAGAATGCAGGTTTGAAATAAAACCTTTCTGAAAATAATATCAGAATAATATCAGAAGCATGGGCATATTATACTAATCACTGAAAAGTCATATCTTTTATATGGGCTTGAATAGGGACTACATTAAGAAGTTTAACAGCCTTGTAATAAATCAAGGGTAATAAACAGTTGTCAGAAGGGATGGTTTTTACCTCAGTTTTGCCTATGAAACAAAACCAGACTGAATGTAACTGGACAATTCACCAAGATTAAGGAAAGTAAACCCAGGTGGCTTGTCAAGAATATGTCATCCAGCCGTTTCTTGAAAGATATCGGGTATCTGCTTCACAAACATGTTCCATGCTCCCACCACCCTTTGGGGAAAGAAGTACCTCCAGTTCCCAGATTTAAATGCATGTTGGAGAAACTAAAACCAAAATGTCCAATACAGTAAAATCTTTACTGATATTTAAGCCTTACCCTTGGAGCACTCCAGTTCAGCTTCGGGAAGATGCTGCCCCCAAGAGCGTTGATTGCTTCCTGTACTTTGGCATGGAACTCGGGGAATTCAGGAGCCTTAACCACAAAGGGAAACTATCAGGGCTTTCAAACTTAACACAAACAAAAGTTATCACTATACATCTTTAAAGAACTAAATATACAGTCAGGATGCCTTAATTTGTAATCGAGGCAATTGTTTATCATACTTAAAGAAGAAATACAGATAACAACTACAACTACAAACAGATGAGTTTTAATGATTGGTATATCCATTACCTAACTAGCAAGGAGAATGATACCTTAAGCAAATATGAAGAGTTGCTCTTGCAGTCTGTACACTTGGAGCAGATATAGTAAACAAAGGCACCTATATCTAAAAGACTTAGTCACAGTTTAATAGAAACGGTTAACCGATTACCATTTAAGCCTGCTGATAATAAGCTAACTCAAATGAAATATTTTTAATACTTACAGTAACCGTTGATGTAGTCTCGTCATCTGACCACTATTACAACAAAACCAAAATATATATTTTAAAAAAAAAACAATCGACAAGATGTCCAGAATTCTTGCCCCAATCTCCATTTTGTAAACTTATGGGATAATATCTATAGTGACAGACTGAGCAGAGCCACACAAGCCCTGGCTAAGAGAGCTGGCTTATAAGGTTCTAAACAAACACCTTCAAGCTCGTCTTGATCAGGGTATTGTCAGGTTAAACCTACATACCAGTTTAACACGTAATGTCTTTTCAGACAATAAGCATCTAGTGTTCCTTTAACAAAAGTACTGAACTTGCCTTTAACGGTCCTAAGGCATTAGAAACTATTTGTAACTGGGAATGTTTCTGGATGGGTTAAGGAAAAATATAAGACATTTACTACTTTAAATTACAAAACTAAACATACATTTATTTATGTTATAAATTTGCATGACATACTGTATATTAATTAAATATTGTGCATTAAATATTAAATACTTTATTTGAAAAAGTATAATATATGTATACTGACAGATGACTATATGACTATATATTTGTACCAACAGTAGCTATACCGCACATGAATACTATGACTAAAATTGTACCTGTATATCGTCTTCCTCATCACAGTCACTATTGTTTGTCTGAGAATTCTGAGGGGGATCTACTCTGCAAAAAACAGAATAACAGACTATTCATATAGCGTTAAAAAAAGAGCAAAATTACAATAACTTATTCATTTATACAGTCCCTTGTCTTCCTGGAGAAACTAAAACCTCAAAGGATGTGACAACAAAAGGAACAAATTCAATCTGAAAGATGCATTGTAGCATTTCTCAAATTGTCTACTTTAAATTCCACGACGATTGCATGGAAGCCAAATGAAAATGATTTATTTGAAAGATTTACAAGACCAAATGTCAAGGTTGTTGGTGTCTCTCCTGTGCCGTGTATCAGCTTAGGATTTTTAAAGACTGTAAACATAAGAACACACAAAAGGTTACAAATAGAAAGGAGGCTGTTCATCCTTTCTCACTTGTTTGGGTGCTCAAAACCAACTGATCTCATCCCATCATTTTCTGAAGGAAGTGAGGGTATCAGTTTTAACAAGCTTGTTCCTGACTCCCACAAACATTTGTATGAAAAAGAGCTTCATGGGCTCTGATTTACAGTAGATGCACTGTCCCCGGGTTTCACCTTTGTGACCTCCGAGTCATTTTTCCCTGCTGACCCTTGACCCTCTCACATTCTTTTGTACAACAGGGCATTTACTGGAGCAATGTGAGTGAACTATCTTGCTCAGAGGCACAATAGCTGTATTGTAGTCGAGATCTGAACCCACAATGCTCCAGTCTGCAGTCCCTAACCACTTCTCCACACTACTGCCCTAAAACATACAGCATGAAATAGCTGACAACAGATAAAGATGAACAAGAATAGATACTGAGAGACAATTTCATGGTAACACAGAGATGGATTTCTGAAACAGCGTATAAATTAGGCAAAATGGGATGGAGCAGAATTGTTGTGGGGAATTCTTCATCAGAGGAGCAGGACACAGTTTTGTGCAGATTCAATTTTATTGAGCTCAATAAGGACAGCAACATCCACTGGGTCTGTCCTGCAGAACAGAGCCCCTGAAAGAGGTTTCCAACCCTTATATACTGTACAGAAAGAAGTCTTAGTTTCACAGTTTTATGGCTTGTTATGTATATTTATTCTGTCCTTTGAAATGTAGCAAAAGTTGAACTGCTTTGTCCTATTTGAAGTCCTGTCCTTTGAGATGCAGCAGACATTGATCTGCTTTATCATGTTTATGGTTTGATTGTTTATGGGTGTTGGTCCTACCTTTTGTTATGTAGTGTAAGTCACTGGAGCTGTGCAAGCAAGTCAGCTTCATTATATCTTAGCATGACCTTTGTTAAAGGCTAAATTAGCAGATCCCAGCACTTCCACACTTCCACACAGTGGTTAAACAGTAATGTCCCACTTCAGGTAATAAATAACCGGATAAATCAGGGTGGCCACATGGACATTAAGAAGATGGAACACAATGTTAACATATGGACGTGTCAAGGTTGGGGAGGATTTCAGCCTTGGCCACAAAATGGGTTACGACAACAAAAATAAATAAATGACTAACACAGTCAGTAATAGCAGAGAATTAAAGGCTCCTCTTAGAGGGACTGAGCTGTGATTCATCACGCTGGCCAGGCGGATCCCTGAGAATAAGGCCGGCCGAGATCTAGTCCCATAAAGCTCAACCTGAAGTGCACGCAGCCAGTTAGCGTCCATGCTTGCTGGAGCCATCTGCTGGTAATCTGCGCATACTACAACTAATGGAAAACAAAGCTCCCAGTTAAACAGGCAGTCTGGGCTTTCTGACCTGAGTCAGAATTTTACTTGCACACGTACATAGTGCGTGCGTGTAAAACGTAGAATCATGTGCTAATAATCTTCTTTTAGTCAAGTTATGAGTCATGGACCCATATAGACAAAATCATGATCTTCATGGATGTTTTTGATTTCATTTAGCCCTTCCACTATAATTCATTACAATGCTTGACTTCACATAACTTGCTTAACAGATACATTTCTGAGTTACACTGAATACACCAAACAAATGACAGCACTTTCCCGTGACTTAAAAATTAGCCTATTAGCAGATTCCTCATATAATTCAGATTTTCTATAGTACCAGTAACTACGAAAAACAGATAGGAATTGTGAGATGTGGAAGATTCAAAGTCTAGAGTAGATCTGAAGAGCGAAAAAACACCCAGCCTAGACAAACGTACCTCCCTGAAACCACAAGAGTGCCGTCATCCAGTAAATAATCGATCACATTCTGTGGCAAAGGAAGAATTAAACTGTAACACAAAAACAAAGAGTGTTAACACAATCATTGGGTATTAATGGTCATTCATGCTTATTACATAGACGGAAAAACTGAAAGTCCGAGTTCTTCTTAAAAAATAATTTTAAACTTAAGCGTCGATAACAAGCACTGCCGGTTCAGTAACAAATTAGATGATATCAGTGTAACACATCAGCATTGTAAGATCAAGCTCTACGCTGGGATTTTAATAATTACATACAGGAAAAGTAAATGTCATACCTTTTAATCGTGTGCTTCTTGAATAATGTGTACCACACCGAAAACTGACAGTTTACAACCTGCTCTTTCTTCATGCTTCGTCTATTGACAGGAAGTGTCCGATAGAAAACAACTCCTCCACTGAGGAGAACAGCGGTCGTACCTATCGGATTCCACCAATCTACATATATTTAAAACTTTTTTTTCAAAGAAGCTTTGTGATATTCATATTGTTAAAATATTTATCTTATTAACTTATATGCGTGCATTTTGTCTAAACTGAATTTTATTAGCTGACGCGAGATTCAAGAAGGAGTGGCGCTCAGGGGGAGGTGTTTCGAGTTGCACTACGTTGGGGGGAATGGGTAGCATTAGTGCAGTGCTGTGATCACACTGATGAAAGTATCTTGGTTGCTGGCGAATAAGGTATGGATGTCTATTATGTTCTGTGTATATTAATTGTAATCGACTGTTTTAATAATGTTTCTTCTTTGGGTTATGTTGTTCAGAGGATTGAATTATTCAGATCACAAGTATCATGCGCTTTAAACGGTTGTTTAAGGTATTAGAGTCTACTAGAGAAGAAGTATTCCTCTTCACTCCGTTTTTCCCAAAAGCTGAGGTAATCACTGCTAAGAGAGCTATTTATCAGCGGTAACTCTGCGAGGCTTTATTGAAGCCAGGTGCAGTCTACCGAGGGGTAGAAAATGTAAGATGAATGAACCGTACAGGCATTGGTAGTAATACGTTTGTAGATTGTACTGTAGGTGAATCTCTGTAAAGTACATCCAAAAAACATTGGGACTCCCTGTCTGAATTCAGTTCATGATAGCAATGAAGAGGCACCCAATTCCTACGACATGGAGATTAATAATCTCCATGTCGTTTTTTATTCATAAGCAATCAAAAAAAATCTGTCATGTCTTATGTTTGTAGTTCATAATCCTAAAATTGTCTTGACTGAAAAAACTGAAAACGTCTTAAGAAAGATTTTTTGTAATAAGATTTTTTTTACATAGCACGTCTCACGTCATAATAATAGACCTTTACAACAGTAAATGGATAAAATGAGACATACATAGCTTACACTAAAAATACATACAATTGGTGTATATATTTGGTATGCTGCAAACGTTAGATGCATTACAAATATGCTTTTTAAAAGAGTGGTCAGGGTCAAGAATAATACGAAGAAGCTCATGTTCAATTTCAGCTCTGTGTAGAGATTTGTCCTAAATCACTTCCAGCCCTGAAACAGTTAAACATTTTAGCATTTATTGAACTGATGTAGGGAACCATAACAACATAAGATAGGATACAAACCCAGCTGTTTCTTGAATAAGCCAGGGTATTGGGTCCAACAACACAGTTTGGTAGCTTGTTCCATGCTCCCACAAACCTCTGTGTAAAGCAGTGCCTCTTGTTCTGTTTTCAGTGGACTTCCATGTAGTTTCAGCTTATGTACTTTTATTATCCTGGATGCATTTGACTACATCCATTTGTACTATCATCCATTGTACTTAGAATCACAGGTTAGCCTAATTCGTAGTGTAAACTGAATTGTGTGATATTCCTTGGTATAGTTTACCTTAATGTTCTTCTCATCTTCACTTTGTCTGTGATGTTTTTTTCTAATGTGCTATCTTTCCTTTCATATTAAAACGTAAAGTGGCAATTTAGAATAAATTTTAATTAATAATCGCAAAGAATGGTTCTTTTTCGGTTTAGATATTAAACGAAAACCAGTACCATTAATGGTGAATTTATTATTTGTTGTTTTTGTTTTGGTTACTTCACAGATAAGTGCATCTGCAGGCTCACCAGAAAAGTGTAGGCACAGTTTCAACTGCTTGTTTGTGAGGCAGCAAAAAAAATGGAACCCTAGTTTTCTTTTGTGAAATAGAGATTATTCAATGTATGAATGTATGTCAATTACTTGCTAAAAGTCTGTATTAAGGCAATATTATTTCCTGTCCAGTTATGACACAATCCTCCACTGATACATGAAAAATAAAAATATTATTTTGACCATTTGTTTTGCTTGTCCTTCTTGCTAGGCAATCCTGCTGCGATAATATTGATTGCAAAGTTGCATCGTCTGGACTTTGAGACTGTCACTGCTTCATTCACCAGGTCTACAAACATGAGCCACGAAGGGGGTGCTTCATCTAAGAGCTCTACATCGTCAGTCCTTAAAGAAGAGGTGTGCAAACCATTGAATAGGAACACTTAATCATCCTTATCTTCTTGTTATCTCAGGACATCTTTGTCAGTCAGCAGGATTGAGTGTAATTTTAAAACCGGGATGGAGACAGAGCAATCAGTGGGTTTCCACTAAACAAAGCAGATTTGATTAGATGTTATTTTCTGTTTTTCATTGACGAATGTTATCATGGGCTTCACTTGGGAATTCGAGAAAGTCAGCTGAGTGATGAGTACTTTTGCTTCCTATATATATGAAAGTATGACAGAGCGAGGAAGGCCTAGTAGTCAATGTAGTAGGGGACTATTCATCCTATTAACCTGGGCTAATGCATAATACAATGCTTTCTGTACAGGTAATTACAGAAGGAAAATGGGTCAAATTTGAAAAGACCACCTATGTTGACCCTTCTGGAAATGTAAGGTAGGTTTGATAGAAATGTTTCAGTAATTGTAACATGGTAAAAAAGATTAACTTTCTTATTTGGTTTTAAATTTTCTCAGAAAAATTAATCCTCCTTATTACTGAATCATAGTTTAGCCTGAAGAAGGCTCCACGGCCTAAACATTGTGTTTTCTTTTTTCTCTTTTCAGCATGGAATAAACCTTTTACTTGTTCCTTTGCAGCCTACACATGCTGACACAGCTCCCCACCTAAAGTGTATATATATATTGTTCTGGGGTTGAAAAAACATAATTCTTGATAGATCCGACTTTTGGCAATATCAGACAATTCATCATCCCTATTATTCTGTTAAACCAAGGGTTTACTGTCTCTAGAATGGGTTACTTACAGTTACTATAGTGATAAAGTGATAAAGTGAGTACTCTACATGGGAAAATACTTAAAGTAATATCTTTCGTTATCTTTGTGCAGTTCGTTATCATGTTGAGTAAAGGCATGCACCTGGCAGTGCATAATTGGATCAATTTTTATAAACAATTAGCTGCAGTATGGGAAATGGTGAAAAGTAATTGCAGTTTTTTAACTTTTTCATCAGTTCTGTGTTTGTCTTGAATTAGAATCTGGGAAACGGTGAAGAGGACAACAAAAAAGAATTCCTCAGCTGACGGTATGTAAATTTGTAGGTTAAAGTGTATCTGACACTGATTGAAAGATCAAACGGAAAAACTGTGCATCTAGTACTGTATGTATGTTGAAAACGTTAAATCTGGTGGCTCGTTGGCGCAGTGGTTAGCTGGACCCTGCGTTCAGTGCTGTGTGTGTGGAGTTTGCATGTACCACCTGCGTTTGCGTGGGTTTCCTCCCTCAGTCCAAAGACAGATTGGTACAGTAAGTTCATCGGCGTCTGGGAAAACTGGCCCTTTTGTTGCTGTGTGGGAGTTTGTGTCTGTGAGTGCCCTGCGCGGGGCTCTGCGAATGCCTCGCGCCTGTTCCTTGCCTATGCAACCCTTTGTTGGATGGAGTGGAACGAAAATGTTAATCTTCTGTACTTTACTTCCAATTAGGAGTGGGCATATTTGCCGTTCTGAAAAGAACTCTCCATTATGACTGTGTTGTAATGGTAAAACAGTTTCGGCCGCCAATGGGGTGCTACTGTCTGGAATTTCCAGCAGGTAAAGTTCTGTTTTCTCTTTTCTCGCTTTGTACAATTCTAAACCTTAAATTGGAATGAATTTAAATACATTTTCATGGTGCAATTGTGGATTTTAATAAAGGCTTGCATTTTGTTTCAGTTATTAAATAAATCCTTTTGTAACAGGAAGAATGAATAAATTGTAAGGTCTCCTAAGAATATTTCCAGTTGAAATTACTGTCCACGGTTTGTCCTCAAGTATTAAGAATGTAATATAATATCAAGCCTCATGTTTCTTAAATGTTCTTGGGTTTTTTGTGCTACTGGTTTCTTCATCTCATTCCATACACTCTGAAGAACATTCTAAACATCGGTACTTTATAAAGAATGTTTAATAATTTCAAATAAAAAATACATCATGTGATTATCAGCAACCCCCATACTTTTCCTAATGAATAGCGAATCTTTACCAAATTGATTTATGTACAGTGAAGGGGTTAGATAGAAATTTGAAAATGGTTTTAGCAGAAGGGTGATTTCACCTCTTTCTAGAAGACTTTCTGTGAAGTTTGTAGTTTTGTTAAATCAAACCAGGCAGCTTTCACTCTAGAGCCCTAAGGCTTCTTGCTGTACGTTTTGTGAGAGTGTTTATAATCTTTTAGGCCTCATCGATGAAAATGAAAGCGCAGAAGCTGCAGCTTTGAGGGAACTGCAAGAGGAAACTGGGTATAAAGGAGAAGTAGTAGGAATTTCTCCAGGTAGAGTTTCTGTGTGTGTGTTTGGCTTGTTGTAAATATAACTGTTTCCCTCACAATTCTTAGTTCATAATCCTTCATTTTCAGTAAGTTTGTGTACTGTATTCTATTCGCAGTGATTCTGAAAACCACTACCTTCAGACTTACAGTGAAATCAGCTGATTATGATGTAAAAAGTTCATAGGTTTACAAGCGTTAGTAAATTTTGACGGTGGGCACTGAAGATTTAAAGTCCTGGTAAAAGTGTTTATCTGTAATAATATTTAAAATATATTTTTGTTTCAATTTCTGGAAGGCAGATTGCAATACTTTGTGTTTTAATTTATACTGGTACTGCCAGTTGCCTGTCTTCCTCTCTGGATTAGGCATTACATGTAAATTCATAATGAATCTGTTAAATAAATTCTACAGCTGTAGGAATCATAGGGATGTGATGGAAATGTCTATTTTACGTTCTAGAAATATATTTTTTCTTCCTCGTCCTTGAATACATTTTTTATTTCTTTTTAGTAACTTGTATTGATCCCGGTTTGTCAAATTGTACAACTCATATAGTCAGCGTTAACATCAATGGAGATGATCCAGAAAACATCAGGCCGGCACAACAACTTGGTAAGAAAGGCTTTTTTGTTTTTGGACTGTATTTCCAAATTTTTTATAAATGCATCTTAAAACTCCTCTAAATAACTTTTTTTTTCTTCTCTTTCAGCGGAAGGAGGTATGTTTTTGCTTTACATATTTCAGTGGGAGTGGTGCAGCAGTTAGCAGTGCTGCCTCAGTTTCAGACCTGGGGTGCTGTTTGTGTGGGGTTTGTATGTCCGCCCCATGTTCCCCCAGGTACTTTGGTTTCTTCCCACAATACAAAGACATACTGGTAGATTAATTAGCTTGTAGGAAAACTGGCCCTCAGTGTGAGTGTGAGTGTGCGTGTCTGCCCTGCGAGGGACTGGTGTCCTGTCCCGGGTGTGCCCTGCCTTGCACCAGTTGCTTGCTGGGATAGGCTCTAGTTCTCCTGTGACTGTATTGGATTATATGGTTAGAAAATGGATGGAAGGATATCTGAATGCCATAAATTGACAGTTTTGAGTGACTGCTAATTCTAGTTTGCTAATTGCAGAGTTTGTTGAAGTACTGCTTATACCTCTACATCACTTTCAAGACAAAATTAATGGTAAGTGTTTTTTTAAATACACTTTGTTCCGTATTCTGCTTAGAACATTAAATGTTTCCATTTCTTAATGCAGTAGCAAGTTAATTAGTATAGAATTAATCAATCTTGGTATTGTTTTATTTCCTTTGAGAAACTTTTCTCATCTAATTGCATATTAAAATTAAAACTAATTCTAATTCTGAATTGGAAAGTGTTTGTCTTTAGTCTGTTACAATATCAGAAGCAAATGTTAATATCAATATTATCTATTGCTAGCCTCAGAAATAGTGCATTGCTGAAGTATTCAGACTCTTGCAGTTTTTTTTTGCTTTAAAGCTTAGTCGGGACACTTTGAATTAGCCATTATTTGAAATATACAAAACCTACTTCTTTAAAGCAAAAAATAAAAATAAAAATATTTTTAACAAATGACTCGTCAACAGTTTATCAGGAAAACCAGCCCGTTCTGAATGTCAGAATATGGCACTGTGCACACTTGGAAAGTTTGATTTTGTGATGTACATTGGAGGTTTTACAAGTTTCTGTGTTCATTTTTCTTTCATTGTGGTTTGAAATGCACTCATCAATGCCGATTCTTTCTAACCCCAAAATATAAAAATATTTAGTTTTCTCATGACCAGGAAGAACATAATTAGCAGATAAACACAAATAGCTGTGAATATTTAACCTTAGCAATTGTATAGTAAATGGATATTTCTTTAAAATATTAAAAATGATTTTGATGTAAAATGTATTTGGATTTTAGAATGTACGATTCTACGGTTTTCGATTTTGTTATCCTGTGAGACAGTTAATATTTAGACAGTGGTTGTTTCGCACTCTGACTTTTGTTTAAAAAATTGGTTTCTTCTCCCCTCTAATTTTCAAGAAATTGTGAAGAAGGAACACGTAGTTGTAGATACCAAAGTCTACGCCTATGCAATGGGAATGACACTGGCAACAGCCAAGCCGAAAGAACTGCCAGTTCTCAAGCAGTGAAGAAAGACTGGCTTCCTCTAGCATTCTGATGTTCTTGCGTGGGTCTGCGAACGCATTCCTTAATGTACGATAATCCAGTTGAAAAAATACTGAATTTTAGATGAAGTGCACAGATGATCCACCATAGTGCCTTACATTCCTGTTTCAAAATCCAGTGTTGAAAAATCAGTTTTCTTACCCTTGTATTCTTTGTTTTATGGTGGAATGGTCTCTTTTTCTTGCCTGGTTTGTAAACAAATTATCCAGATTTGTTGCAATAAAGTGTACCCAATATTCAACAAACATCTGTCTTTTTCATAATTAACTGTTTCCCAGTTTGTATTTAGTTTGTTTTTACTTCATGCAATACCCTTCTCTTGTCTATATTAAAAGCCATCTGCCAGGTGAACTAAAGTCCCTGAAGGCCTACTGCTTGCATTGTGAAAATTTATCTTTTATGAGAAACTTTATCAAAAGCCTTCTGAAAATCTAGTTATTCCATATCATGTGCTCTCTGTTTATCCTTTACTGTTGTTACTTGACACCTCTTCTGAATTCAGGTTGACTATTCTTCTTTGTTGACTATAGGTGATCTAATTTAGTTTGTACAAGCTTACATATTAACATAGTCAGTCCTATTGGTCCATAATTACATGGGTACATTCTGTCACCCTTCTTGTGGATGGGAACTACATGAGCAGTTCTCCAATCCATGGATACTTATAACATTCTGTTATTAAGATATCATTTACACAACTCTCACAATAGTTACTCAAGACAAGGGTAATAGTTTAATCTTGTTGCCGTGAGCACGATTGGCAAGATACCACAAGCTCCTGGGGATTTATTAATCTTGAGTGTGTCTAGTATGCAAAACACTTCCGCTTCTTCTATTCCAACTCTAGTGAAGAACTCTGTACTTCCACTGGTGTAATATTAAGTTCTTCCTTAGTGAACATCTGAATAAAATAGTTGCTTAGTATTTTCCTATTATTGTCAAGATATACAATGTCGAGGAGACAGTTTGCGTCATCCTTAACCATCTTTAGACGTTGCTGAACTGAAAGATCTTACTGCTGTACTATTCTTTCATTCTTTGGGTCTTTCCAAAATATTTTTAGCTTGTGCCTGAATTCATTATTTAGTGCTGTTGTTTTTAATCATTTTAACTTGAAAACGAAAAATAAAATGAAAATGAAGAAAATCACTTTCTTTTACCTTGTTCAACAAATGAGGAAAAAACAATTGGGGATACTTTTGTTCTTGTTTTTGCTTTACTCACTTGACAATACTCATACCTGCACATTTTAATGAAAAATGTGCACCTCAGAAAAAAACATTTACAAACCCTGTGTATTTTAATAATGAAAAGTTTATTTTATGTTTTTTTTTTTAAACGAGACTGTACCAACATCGAATAATTTAATACCCTCCATTTTGATCCTGCATACCTGATTTACCAGTTGAATTGAAGACTGGACTCCATAATTCCATAATTACTGAACAGCATGTCACTGAAACTCCACATCCCTCTTCAAGGTTCAAAGAAATAGGAGATTAGACCCATTACATTACTGCAACACAATACAATGGGTCCAAGACTATCTCAGAATACACATTCCTCACATTCTTTGTGAAAACAATACTGCTTGCCATGATTCCTGCATTTACAGCTTTTAAAATTGGTAAAAAGATGCATAAAATAGGAAACATTCCTAATTTTCTACACGTGCCATCAAAGCACTTAACAATATGAAAATGGCTTAAATTACATTTCATTGCAATTCTGTAGTGTTCAAAACAGGTACATACTGTGTGCATGTGCATACATTGGGTCTCAGCATTACATGTAACACCTGATACTTTACAAGGAACTGTAAACATTTTAAGGCAGCTGGCACTAAATGCTGCGTGCAGGCAGAGTTCAAGTCCCATTTCAAAAGTGGGGGTTATTCCACGCTGTCAACATGGATAAGCAAAAATACGGTATTCCTCTAGACATGACTGATGTACAACAGAAAAATAGATCTCCTTTAGCACTTAAATAAGGCAGCGCTTCGTCTACAGGGCAGTTAGAAAAACAAAGCCCCCATCCCGCCAACCTCTGCTTGCTCTTTGACGAAGATTTCAAAATATTGGTATATGATCGTAACGGCAAGCAAAATCCCAGTGCCTGACCCTATGGCTCCCAAGAAGTCGGCTAAGACCGACAGAGCTCCAATGCACAGACCTCCAAAGGCTGCTGCAGTAGGGATATACCTAAAAAACACAACAGAAACAGATTATAAATGGAACATAAAATACCCCACTAGCAAGGGATTTATGTTTATGTAAAACTGCTTTTACCTGTTAAGTTCATGGACCATCGATGTTTCTCTGTGTCCTCTCATCACCATCTGCTGTTCTTTCAGCTGTTTTGCTACCTGCAGAAATTAAAGACGTTGTTCATATCCCCGCAAGGCTGAAGAAAACCATTTCACTATTTTGAACACCTGAATGGAGATCAGAATAGTTGCCGTGTTGCTAAGAAGTGCTAGTAGCCAAACTCCCTATTAATATCATTGAGTGCCACTGGTTTCTTTCGATACAGTCTGCTATTCTCTAAAAAAAATGCCAATCTCCAATATCCTATTAAAGAAAAAACTCACATCCTTGGCAGAGGATCCAGAAACATCAATCCACGTCTTTGAAAAGAAGGCACACGACCCCAGCATGAAAATGATGTAGACGACGACATGGATAGGGTCTTCGAAAATTGCGCCGATGGACTCGGGGGGGGAGAGGTAGTAGCAGAGACCGCCGACAGGGTAGGAGCGAGCAGGCCCTCCGCCCCCCACATCCTGGGAATTCAACAGTGAACACACACAGTCCACCCTTTAGAACTGACGGCCCATCGGATGTGGTACGTTCCTGCATTCTCAGAGCAAGCAATCTTAAAAATAAATCAGTTTCTTTTTATACCCTCCCCCATTAGGTCACATTTGCAAGCAGAAAGCACAGATCGTGGAACCCTAATTCATTATATAGGTCTCCAAATCTGGCACTTTTTTAGACTTGAACTCCTGTACTATGCAGCGGGACTTATTCATCCGACACGCTGCTCTGCAGTTCCTGACATGAAAGTCAGCACTGACTGGACGGGTGGCGCCTCTCTGAAGCTACCTCACAGGAAAAACTACGGCAAAAAATGAGAAGATCTTACTTCACATGTCACTTAGTCTACTGCCAACCCATAGTCTATATGAGAACCTTTAACAAGCTAGTTTTGAGCCTTCGAGGGTTTCCTTGTAGGAAAATGTGGTAACTGCTAAGGATTATATAAATGGGAACTTATTCATAGACATTCTATAAAATATATATGATAAACAAGATAACAGAAGACCACTAGGTTTGTGAGCTTCACTGGGTAACTGCAACTACATCCTCACAATTGTTTAAATGCAAGCACATACCGCCCACTGTCCCAGCAGATTGACCAGGAAGTTCCCGCTGAAACGAACAGACAGCATTTGAGAGATGACATAAAGGTTGGAAACCAGAGCAGACTGAAGGATGATTGGGATGTTGGAGGTGTAGAAGAGCTTTATGGGATAGCTGCTGTATTGTCCACGGTAACGGGCAGACTTGATTGGCAGATCTACGCGGAATCCCTGGGAGGAAAAAATTATAGCGTCAACGCAAACTGTGTAAAACTCTAAAAACAAACTGCTTGAGCACATACTCAAGCATTGAGTACCTAAAGTTTTATGAATGAGTGGTAGCTTAGAGAATGGTAATTCTCTTCTGTTCAAGGAATACCCAGGTAACAAAGTAAGTGACAGCACACAAACCACTTTAAAGTCTACAAGTCTGATAAATGATTAATCCATTAACACCAAAATACATTACGGCCAACTGACAGCTTGAGCTTAATCTACTTACCTGGAAATATATGACTACAGCAAAAACGAAGATCGTTGCAATCAGGTTCATGAGGTTAGGGAGGTTCTGGCGGTAAAAGGCTTCTCTGAGAGCGCGGACTTTGTCGGACCGAGTTGCAAGCAGATGAAAGAGGGCAATCACCGCACCTTCAAACTCGGTCCCTTGAAAAACAAAAAAGGAAATCTCTGATGGAAAGCTTTAAAAACAACATTACTTCAAAAGCGAGACAAATATAATGTCCTCAGTGCACGTCTTGCAGCAAAAATATATTTAAATACGTTTGAAACATTACCTCTGCCAGTGTTTATGGTAGTTGGGCTGAAGGCCTTCCACACAATTGTCTCACATATGTTTGTTGCGATAAACAGGGAAATGCCAGATCCCAGGCCATAGCCCTTCTGCAGCAGCTCGTCCAGCAGCAGCACAATCAAGCCAGCAACAAAAAGCTGTGCAACACAACCGTTCACTTGGTCAGTATTTCATTTTTAAAAATGACACCGTGTTCTTTTACCAAAGGAGTCCTGTTCCTTTTGCTCCTCAACACGAAGGAAACACCTTAACGACAAGTATATGATAACAGACACAAAAATTCCAGAGCGAGTTTGTTGGACTCTGAAACAAGCCATCCTGCAATGTTCTAGAAGCTGGTATCCTGGCCTCCTTCAAAACACAGCTGGATGAGATCCTTGGATCCTCAGATCTGTTAGTTGCTATCAAAAATAGTGAGATGGGCCAAATGATTTCCTCTCATTATTTATGTGCTTATGTGAAGCTGCACCACCTTTTACCCTAACTTTTTAAGGCAAACAGAAGCAAGGATGTATGACAAATGACCGCTCACCTGAATAATGATTAAGAGACAGATGCCAGCCCCCATTTCTGCCGGGTCTCCATACATTCCAGTCATCACGTACACAATGGCCTGGCCAATGGTTATAATCATCCCGAACACTAAGGGTGGAAAAGTCACACCACAAGCAAACATCAATAAGGTTTAAGGCCTGTTACTCAAGAATAAAAAAACAGAACACTCATAACGAATGGCATAGTGCAGGTCCTTACATTTCTGTGCCCCATTGAAGAGGGCTCTATCCTTCGGTGTATCTCCAACCTCAATGATTTTAGCACCAGCCAGGAGCTGCATTATAAGTCCAGATGTCACAATTGGAGAGATACCAAGTTCCATCAATGTGCCTGTAAACGGGGAAAAAAAAAAATCAAGCATTCAATCAACCATTTATAACACATAATTAATTTTTGATTATTGAAGCAATAGCAGGCCAAGTGCCACCGGTCATAATAAAAGTTCTGATTAAGTTATTTGGAAATACATAATCTAACAGAGACTTAGAAAATATGAAGACTTCCACACTAACACCCTTTACATTAAAAACCCCATCAATAATTACATATTCTAGAAAGTCTAGGCTGTAAGTTTTAAGTCAGTAAAAGTAATCATGAGAAAATACAAAGGTCTTATCCTGCTAACAACTGAAAACCACTGTCAGGGGCAAACATCTGCATGTGTATTACAGTAGAAGTGGCAGAATCTTTGCCGATGTCTTTATTAGGAGACAATGATGACTGCAACTCTTGAGAGATGCCGTTACGATCGTATACCAGTCCATATTGTTCTCCAGATCTTGATATTCTGTAAATGGCACTTTGCAGAAATATACATGGAAACTGACTAAACCTTAATTATTGAATCTCTCCTGCAAACCTAAATATAAAATAATGCCCCAGCAAAATTTGTTGTTTGTGATGCAGGTGTAAGCTGGTGATGAGGTGAGGTGCACAGAAGTCGGGAGTAGCACAGAATTCAAACAGGCAGCTAGTTAGATCCTCACTACCAGCTTGCTGTACTTCCGACATGTAACTATCTCTGGAAACCCTCCCATGTTTTTTTCTAATTTTGTTTTAAAAAGGAAAAAAAAAAGGGAATGCCATGCTGGTATTACAACATGACCAACTGTGAAGCTGCAAGGACTGGGAGCCCTGCCACAGCCAGGCAGAAGAGGGACTGTGACATAGACTCCGTCAGGAAGTCACACCGTACATTTATGGGAGTTGTAGTTCGTTAACCCACTCTACAGCTGTGAGCAATTATAGCCAGTTTTAATACCCAGCTCCCCTTACGACAGGGTTACACGGGCAAACCTGGAAACAAAGTAACAGGCCTATAATATTTTGTTAGTAAGTCATTAAGCCCCCGTGAGCATCACTGCCATCATAGCCCCCTGAGCAAGGCCCTTAACCCCAATCTGGTTTGTGACTATCAGAGAAATACAAGTACTCTTGGTAACACCACTGTATTGCCTTAACGGAACTTTCCCTCCTTGAGTACTGAATACCCTCCTCCCCCATTTCTCAAACTCCCAAAAAAATGAACCGAGAGGCATCGTTTCCAAAACCCCCTTACCTCTATTGGATGCCAGAATGACTCTCATCCAATAGAAAGGATCTGCCGAGTCTGATGACATGATTCCAAATAATGGAATCTGTTAAGAAAAGTAAAAAATGCTTATTATACTTTATGAAGACTGAAAACTGACAACTAGACTTTGCATTTTCAGTTATCTCCCAAGTTCTTAACACTATGATAAAAACTTTTTAAATACATTTCACAGCAAGGTCAAATAAAGGAAAAATTAAAAATATGAACTAGCTTGTGGAAGTTTAACTAGTTATTGGATATGTATAAATTTTCCTTTGCACAGACATCTATACCAATCCAATAAACAGCAGAAACAACAGTCTATCAATACTGAGCAGCTCTACAAAACTTTAATCTGGGGCGCAGACAGAATTCATTCACTTAAGTCACAAGGTACACCTAAGGTTTACAAGGTAGAAATCACAAAATACCAGAGGTCTAAAGCAAACACCAGTGGCTTACCTGACAGCACACTAAGAAAATGAAGAGTGTAATAGCCGTCCATAGTACCTTCTCCCTGAATTGTATCTATAAAATAGACATGAAGAGAAAACATATCAAAGAAAACATATCACTTATATCACATAAGTGAGAAGGAAAATGAGGCTTAGACTCAGTGATGATTGTTTGAGTTCTAATTCTGATGATTATTACAATAGCGATTCCAATAAACTGTAATATCTGTGGTGTTAAGTCAAACACTTTTCTCACCTCACAAGTTTCTCACCTAGCAAATGCAGCTTCCAATGAACGCGTTACATTCAGTACAGCCACAAAATGGTCAAGGAAAAACGTAAGAATTTAAGAAAATACATATAAATCATTAGAACAAAACAATACACAACATTGTTTTGTTCTAAACAATCCCCAAAAGGGTCTTTAGCCTTACCTTTCTTTCTGGCTTCTGTATTTCAGGTAGCACAGCACAGAAGGGTTTTATGACCTCTAAAAATTTAACTGGAAAAAAAAACAAAACAAAGATTTCTTCGTGCTAAATATTAACAGTTTATATAATGTTCTCCATGTACAAAACGCTGAATTTAACATTAAAATACAAATAAAGGTTAAAAAGAAACTTGGCTGTAAGAACACTTTATTTAAGGGATAATACTCTTATCATGCTATATATACACACAGTACACGTTGGTCTTCTTAAAAGGTAATCATATCAGAAACTTTTTTTGTAATGCATCATGGAAAGTACGCACAGAAAGCATGACCTGGCGATTGGAAACTAACACGTACTATACAGTACATCAACGCAAGAAATAGTATACGTCACACAAGTAAATACTTATAGTTTACCGACCTATTTTATTCGTTACTTTTCATAATGGAACATACGATATTTAAAACAAACAACATGCATGTCTAACGTCAGAATAAACTTTTATCAAGTAAACATTTGACTTAATTTGTGTACCTAAAGACAGCAGTTACTCTTAGATAATGAAATACCAGTACAATATAAAGTACTAAAATCGATTTTACAAATTAGTTTGTAAAAAACTGTTATTCTGGACATTTTTATTTTGTTTTACAGAAATGCAGTTTAAACTAATTCCTTTATATATTCCTCATCTCTCTCTATATATATATGCACTCAACAGTAAAATCGTGGCTGCAAGATGTATCTTTTACTTAACCACAAAAGCTGAATTTTCATGACTGTGCCAAGTTAACAGCACTCACTGGTCATCTCTGGGCAATGCAAGTTACAGCATATGCAGTCAGTTGGGAAAGACTTGAACTGCACACGCCAGGATTCACACAGCCTTGTAAAAAATATAAATCAGCGCATACTTACTCCCCATATTGCTCAGGACCTCGTTACGGTGTTACAGGGTGAGTGGATTTTTATCACGGGTGTATTTTTCGCCCCTCTCCCTGCTACACCTCTCTGTTGCTCCTTCTCTCCCTGTGCAGGGGGACGCCGAAAGGAATGGACACGTCACGTGACGCCCCCAAACAAGATGGCTAGGGAGCCGTAGTACACGTCAGCCTATAATCACTGAGAGCTGTACACACCTTCCGAGCAGATCACTGCGCCTGCGAGAGCGGCTATTGTTGCTTAAAGAAACCAATCAGGCACCAGCAGAGACAACTGTATTGTCACACGTGTAGCTGTACACACGTAGCTGCCTGAAATCCCTTATTTCCCTCTGTTTTATTTACAAACGCTATTTACTGTTTGCATTGAAATGTAAGTCACTTTAGCTAAACAGCATTTTTTTTTAGTAAGGCAAGGTCTAGACAGCGAAATGTAAGGACCCGTATCTTATCCACGGAGCCGCTGAGGGAGATTTTAAAAAGTGCAAGAGATATTGCATATACTGTATATGACGTATCCAGCGGAAGAGAACATGGGCACATTTACTTGTTAGGACTTGTCTCTTGTGGTCAGCTCTTTCAGTCGTGTTTTCTGTAAGAAACTTGATTCTAGAAGCCACGGTAACTATTCCAAGGAATTCTAGACTAAAAATATTTAGATGAAAGGGAATAAATGTGACAAAGTTCAATCTTTTAAATGTAGAATAGCATCCTTAACAACAAAATAATTTAAGTAATTAAAATATGTGGTACACATTTAATTATTAATTTCATTAATAAGGAAATGCTTCCAACCTTGTATCATATTGTTAACGACCCCATGCGTCTAGGGGTAAAGAGGTGTAACATGTAGGATGGATTTGGATGCAGG